GGGAAAAGGAAAGGGAAAAGGAAAAAGAGAAAAGGAAAAGGGAAGGGGGGAATAGGAAAGGGAAAAGGAAAAAGAAAAGGAAAGGGAAAAAAGGAAAGGGAAGGGAAGGGGGAAAGGAAAGGGGAAGGAGAAAAGGTAAGAGAAAAAGGAGAAGGAAAGGGGAGGAAAGGAAAGGGGAAGGAGAAAAGGAAAGAGAAAGGGAAAGGGGGAAAAGGAAAGGGAAAAAGGAGAAAGGGAAGAAGAGAACTCTTCCCTTCCCCAAACCCCCTCTCCTCCTGCTCAGGGGAGCAGTTTTTCGACATCGACAGCGGCCGGAACGCGCCCCTGCACTCCCCGCCCACGGAGCACTACACCATCGTCTTCAACACCTTCGTGATGATGCAGCTCTTCAACGAGATCAACGCCCGCAAGATCCACGGCGAGAGGAACGTCTTCGAGGGCGTCTACCGCAACCCCATCTTCTGCAGCGTGGTGCTGGGCACCTTCTTCGCCCAGGTGACCCCAGCCTGGGGGGGTTTTTCCTTTGCTCCGTGGGTTATTCCACTGGGATGGCTTCCAGAGCATGGGAACGCTTTTTCCAAATCTGTAGGATGGACTAAAAAGCCAAAAAGGAATTTTTTTAGGGTGTTTGGTTTGGGTTTGAGTAAGGGGTTTGGTGTTGCTGTTGAGGTAGGGAAGACTCCATCTTCAGAAGGCAAATGAGCGTTTATTTAAAAGCACTTCTCTCTTTTATAGAGAACATCCGAACATTAATTCCATCTGTCCTAGAGTAAAAAACATTTCACCTGGCTGGTGCACTGCACTTAGGTCAGTGTGGTAGAACACATCTATAAACAATATGAATGGAAAACAAGATAATCGATTGTTTACATTCCTCACAGACTTTTTCCCAGGCTTTGCCTGGCAGAAATCTTTCTTTTTCTCTCTGACTGAACTGAGAGTATCCACAGCTGGAAATTCCTTGGAGGTCCCAGAGCAGGGACCTGCCCTGTCCTGGGGTCTCTCCTGGATCCAGGAGAGCCATGGTAGCCCCAGGATTTGGATTTCCTTGCAGCTTTTTACCCCAGTTCCAGGCACAGTGCTGGATCAGGCTGTGGGAATTTCTTTCTGGTGGAAAACTGGTTTGGTGCTTTTTTATCCTGTCTGAAGGGTTTCCAGGCCATTGCTGTCATATTAAGGTGAATAAAGTGACAGAGGCTTCAAGTTCTCAGAAGGCAAAAAGCAAATTTATTAGAAACCATACATTTCTTTTATTAACAATTCTGAGAAAGTTGGACCTCATTAATCAACATCTCTTAATGAACACCCCTTAATCAACACCCTTTAATCAACACCCCTTAATCAACACCCCTCACACCGTTGGCTAATTAGGAACAACACCCTTCTTGCACCTCGTGCAAGTGAACACCACCTTCAAAGCACCAGCTGCAGGATGGTTTTAATTCTCCAAACTTCCCAGAGCAAGGCCTGGGAATGTTTATCTGAATTTTTCTCTGAGTAGATTTTTCACACCAGGGGCTGTGGCACAGGCAGGCTCTGTTCTGTGGAGCTCAGAGTGACCTGAGCTGGTGGAAAGTGTCCCTGTGCGTGGATCTGGGTGGGCTTTAAATCCTTTGAAGCCCAAAACATCCTGGGATTTCAGGATTTGGGGTCTAGAGTAATTTGGGATGTGTTTCATAGAGTTCCAAGCCTGGATGTGAGGTCCCCGCTCTTTTCTGGTGTTCCTTAAAATTCTCAGCCTGACTGGGAGGTCCCTGCTTCTTTCTGCTGTCCCAGAAATTTTCCAGTCTGGACGAGAGATCTTTGCACCTCTCTGGTGTTACACAAAATTCCCAGCCTGGAAGTGAGTGAGGTCCTTGCTCCTAAAATTCCCAGCCTGGAAGTGAGTGAGGTCCTTGCTCCTAAAATTCCCAGCCTGGAAGTGAGTGAGGTCCTTGCTCCTAAAATTCCCAACCTGGATGGTGAAGTCCTCGCTCCTCTTGTAATCCCAGGAAAGAGGGAAAAGTGTGGCTCAGGGGGACGTTTCCATGCCCAGGGTGTGACTCCTGTCTCGTGTGCTGCAGATCATCATCGTGGAGTTTGGTGGGAAGCCCTTCAGCTGCTCCGGGCTCACCCTGAGCCAGTGGTTCTGGTGCATCTTCATCGGAGTGGGAGAGCTCCTGTGGGGCCAGGTGAGGGCCAATCCCAAAATCCTGCCCCATCTTTCTCTCCCTGCATTTGTTTTCCCTGGATTTTCTGCAGGGAAGGTGTTTAGGAAGGGGATGATGCCCCTCCTCAGCCCAGCAGCAGGAGAGGAGGTGGCTGGTCTCCTCCTGCTGCAGAGGGACACGGCCCGCGGTGACAGGGACATCCCCAGTGCTCCCACCGGGTCCTGGCAGCTCCTCCAGGCTGGTGGCACTGGCACTGCTGCCTTGGGAAGGCTGAGCCAGAGCAGAGGCCAGACAGAGCTAAAGGATAAAGCAGGGATTTATTAAGGGATCTCCTCCATGGAGCCACCTTGGGCAGCACCAGAGCCCAGCCAGGGCTGCACCCAAGATGGACCAAAATGGTCACAAAGTGAACCCAAAATGGTCACAAAA